GATCATGGTATGACAGTGTGAACGGCACAAATCCGATATTTTCAAATCCGATCTGGGTCACTTTCGTATGTGGTACTGAATCTGATACATATCCGATGTTTTAGAAAGCGACTACTGTTTGAACGGTCATGTCGCATTAAATCTGTCTTTTACATCACTGACACAAGACAGACTCCAATTATCAGCGCCCGAGAAGACATCGCAAACGCTTCCTGGCCATCCAGTGAAATTGTTGGGAAGACAACGTTGGAGAAACCTGAATTCTGACAGAAATCTGCAACTATCCTTTGAAGCACCGCTCATCTCTAAAACAGCAATAAGGATAATTATAAGGTTATTTACATTATTATGTAAATAACAAAATAACTTAAAGCAAAAATTGGGAAACGTAAAATCCGAAGTCTTTATATTAAGGGCCATCAGTCAAACAATACTGTTTGGTCTGGGTCTAAACAGAGCACGTTGTGTGTGACATCTTCTTTTGCGCATGCGGGCCGCATTGAGCGTTCACACTAGAGCGCGTTTGCTGTCGCATTTCATTTGTAGTGTGAACAAGCAGACAAAAAAATCGGATTTGATCAAAAAATCGGAATTGAGCATTAAGACCTGCAGTGTGAACGTAGCCTTAGTATATTTTAACTTAGTCTTTCAGACTCTTCCAGGGCAATAGGTCTCAACGTGGTTGGTAGTTAAAGTAGGTCTTGAAAATGAAAAGTATACACATATTTTAAAAAAAACAACAACAACAAATAAACAAATAAAGAGTACAATTTACAAAGAACGTAAATTCAAGGATTTTGTTCTATTTAAGCTAGACTATCTACTGGGGATCGGTCCGATCCGATATTACATATCGGTAATAAAAAATGTAATCAATCCATTAAATATCACGATAGCGCCTCAAAAAAAACTTGCGCCATGACGTAACTCGCCTCATAACCTTAGCACGTCGGAGCAGTATGCGTCACGTGATAGAGCGGCTGTGGCGTGCGAGACCTCTCGGCGGTCTGGTTGAGCACTTGGAGCCTCGCTACCAAACCGGCATTTCATCTCCGAGAAAGTTATCCCAGAGAGAAGTAAAGCAAGTGTGTAAGTTAATCTCTGAACGTTTGTAAAGCATTCCCACGTTAAGCATAACAACCAATATATGGAGCAACTGCCTCTTCTCTTTCCCTCCCTCTCTGTTGCTACTTCAATCATGAAACTGATCAATGATCGGCTGATCGGCTTTTCTGTCGCAAGTCCCGTCTCCCTTGTTTGTTTTTGGCCCACTTTGCACCAGAAAGAGGAAACCAGCGGCTAAACAACAGCAGCACGTTTGAGCTTATAAGCTGCTGTTAGAATTATTTAATATTACTTTTTGATGCATTCTCAATCATCCAGGAAAGTAAATCTCCAAAAGTTGATTCTGTTCATCTGGACGTAACGTGTTGTGGGAGAAACATTTCGTCACTCATCCAAGTGACTTCTTCCGTCTCAGCTGACTGCAGGTTTCCCCAATCTTATAAACAGTACATTTGCATAATGACTGACCCCGGAGGAACCCTCCCGAGGGATTAATAAAGTTCAATTTAATTTAATCTAATAACTTTAATCTCAGCCAAACTGATTTAGTCACAAACAAATAAAACACTGAAAAAGCCAAACAATAATCATGTTTAACCCGAGTAGCGAAAGACCGCGGGGGTTTGAAGACGATGTGTCGGTCGGCTCAGATATTTGAAGTTTACACAGCTACATTCTCACCTGAAAATATGTTAAAAGTGTTTTTGCGACACAGAAAGAGAAATAAGAGTAATATTAAAACTAAGTCGCTGCCTCCTGTGGGGATTAGAGAAATATTTTGCTGCTATTGTTAATAATCATCATCATTACCATTGCATTAATAATTAATATTGATATTGCATTCAGATGTTTAAACATATTGGTACCCAATTAGCCTTTATTACAGGTGCAGTTATAACCACTTTAAACTGTTGAGTTAAATCAATAATCTTAAATGCTTTTGAAT